TAATAGAGATATGTTAACATTAAGATGTTACTTTTCATGTTATATTACATACAAGCTTTCATGCTTATGTTAATTTAAATACTCAAATCTGCAGCTTTAAGCTTAGATTAAGATAATTTAGAATAGAGTGAACTGTAATAGATAAATAGATTAATAACGATGGTCATACATAATTAATTTTATAATTTCATTTTAGAATCAGATAACTGCAATTTGTGCAACGTGTTCAATGGAAAATATAACAGAAGTATTGTATCAGTTCTACAGAAATTTAATAATCCTTTACACATTTATTTTATCCTCATTATTTTCTACATGTGGCATAATAAAAAAGGCAGTTATTTTAGTCATACATATTATGTAAATTCTAGTTTTGAACCTTTAGAATGCTTGTACGCTGTATTGTCAGCTGTTATGGCAGGAAATTTATGGCGCGTGGGATTCCCAGATGTCCCCCCCCCCCCCCACCGATCGTCAATATCTGGGGTGACAAATTTCNCAGAAATTTAATAATCCTTTACACATTTATTTTATCCTCATTATTTTCTACATGTGGCATAATAAAAAAGGCAGTTATTTTAGTCATACATATTATGTAAATTCTAGTTTTGAACCTTTAGAATGCTTGTACGCTGTATTGTCAGCTGTTATGGCAGGAAATTTATGGCGCGTGGGATTCCCAGATGTCCCCCCCCCCCCCCCATCGATCGTCAATATCTGGGGTGACAAATTTCCTTTCAGCTAGTAATGGTATCTATTCCTGCACATTTTTCTTACTATTTTAATGCGCATCTAATCCGCAATAGATCCTGTCCTAGTAGTGAATAGTCAACCAATTAGAGTAAAGAAAATTTTTATACATATCGACCCTTGCTAACGGATGAAGCTGCGGCTTAAAGATGTGCAAGAGTAGGACCTATTACTGTAGTTAGTTACCCACTATCAAAAATGTGAGCGACGAATTGTATGTGCGGCGTGCGAAGCACGAATGTAGTGTAATAACGTGGTCGCGCGGGCCATAAGTAACCACTGTAAGTTATACAAAACGTATTTTTTAAATTTTCAAGAAAATTGAAAAAAAATAGTATTATAGTCATTGTCCTTCTATCACATAAAAAAATTGAAGTCTAATTTTAAAAAAGTAAATACCGTTTTCTCGAGTGGTTTTAAGTATATGACCGCCACTGTATTTCTATTTCGTGCTATAACTTTATATGAATACGACTATTAAATGTTTAAGCATACGATTAACTATTCATATTTTAAAGTTGAAACAGTGAGAAATTAAATTTACAATTAAAGATAGATTTAACATAATTTCAGACTTTACAGATCTTAACAAGTACGTAAGTTAACGCAATAATAATTAATAATACTTTTTTCGTTACTAAATGTACCGCGTCGTTTAATCGTAATTAATTAAAGCTGAATGCCTAGTCGTTTTTCTTTCTCTCTGTGAGCAGTAGTAAACAAATGACTGCGAAGATCGTAAATATCGATCAGTACCACATGGCACACTTTACACATTATGTTAGTGTTCCCGGGTTTCCTTGGATCTCTGTCACAATAAAAGAGAACGTATATTAATTATTCGTGTATTAACTAAGATAGATTTTCACTATTTTATTACTTACTCCATTATCAACGCTCGTAACTTCTTCACGTGTTCTATAATTTCGTGTAACTCGTCGGTCTCTTCCAGTTCCAATGCATTGTGCAACTTAAATATATTATTAGCGACCATAGACGTTTTATTAGGACGTAGATATAAGAGATCATCGTACAGATTCCACGTATCAAAATTATTGATCATCTCAAGCGGTTGATGTTTTCTTGTTTTATCGATTAGTTTGAGCAACGCGTTTTTTATTCTGGTCTGGCAAATAATGATCTCCTCCATGTTATGGATTCCTCCGGATTCGTAACTGATTTGCATACCAATATTCGTCCAATGCCGCAATCTGTTTATCTGGTAACGAACAAAATATTAGAAGCAAGAAAATGAACAATTTAAAAAATATAATAGTATTAAATTAAAAGATACAGTAGAGAATTCACCTCAAATTACTTTAAATTACTCAACTGTATTACAAACACTTTACAAGTACAGAATGACACTGATTCAAAGAAACAATTCAAGAGATTGCTCACGTATTGCAGGTCGTCTATGGTAATCTCAGCGTCGAACTGAAGCTCTAAGTCGTGTTCTGGGAACAGGCTTCTTTTGGTTTTAGGATCGAAGCCCAGTCCGCACAGCGCGCCTATGTAATGAGTCCCAAACGTGTTGCGTCGAAGTTCCATGGACGGGGCAAATATCAGCCCGATCAATGCAGTCAAGCCAGGAAGACGTGGCATCAACGTTGTGTTGTATAACGTTAGATTATAGCCATGAGCACTCTGAGATACAGATCCCGCTACGAGAAGACGCTGAGAAGGATCCTCCGGATCAGTGTCCAGCAGAACAGCGTTTACGGAGTTCGTGGCCACGCATATCCTCTTGTCTCTGCCGGCTGTAGTGAGATGTTTCATTTCAATCTCGAGGGGCGAGAATGGTCCCCGCAAATTCACCGATTTGTAACACTCGGAAGGCTCTGGCGGATTCGGATATATATACTGGGCGTAATCCTGGTTATATTGTAACAGTTCATGATGATGACACTGTTCGTCAGTCATGTCCGCCTGTTGCATTCGTAAATCGTGATTAAACCGTGAGAAATAGCCCTCTTCTTTTTCCCTTGCGAATCCTTTGTCAATTAGTGACCGATTGATACTGATCTCCTCGTTATCAATCAGCAGTATCACTTCTAACGCCATGACGCCGTTTACGATAGAATATATGTCGCCGTACAGCAAGCCTGGTTTGTGGCTCAACATCCAGAAAAAGTCAAAGGCTGCATCCGACCAATTGTCATCCAAATTACTCATTATAGACGGTTCTATTTTGGCTAGAACGCATTCGATGGCTAACGCAGGAACATCGGCGAGCTCGGTGTGGTCGATGCGTCTTAAATCGCAAAGACGACATTCGCCCGAATAACCGTTATCCAAGTAGTAAACTTGTACCAGGATTTCCGGCGAAGTTATGTTACCCATCACCATTGCCCGAAGATACGATATGCACGATTTCATTACGTACGGAGCAATCACGACTGTGCCAGTCTCCGGAACTGTTTCGAATGGATTTAAGTAATCCAAATTTTTATTTATAACGAATCTTATTCTATCAACTTCCTTCTTAACTTTGGTGTCGCGGATTTGTACCCAAAACCGTCCGGGATTCTTCACCTGAAAAGTTAAAGCTCTTAGTTGAAATATTTTATTTAATCAGTTAAAAATGAAATTCGTGTGGCAAGTTTTTTTTATACATACGTACATGTTGCAGTATTATGGGAATACGAGATGTTCGTAAACCTGGTAATCGTGGCACCAAACGGTTTTTGATATTGCTGGCGCGAGTGAAGTACTGTGTCCTTTTTAAGTTTTCCTTCTCTGCTCTTTCAATAGCAATATCCTCATTCAAAATCGGTATTTCCAGTGGTATATTACACTGTCTCATTCGAATAGCTTTGTAAACACACTGTGCAATTTTCTTATTATTATTATCTCCTTCTTCAGGTAAAAATTGTATGTATACTCTAGACGAGGCGTCAAAAGATATTCTAACTTTGTCCTGAGGAAGCTCCATGTGTGACTGCAAAATTTCTTGAATTCTTTTAGCATAGAGAGGGCCAGGCTGTCTTAGAGGCCATCCTTGCACATACACCGTTGTAGAAGGGTCCAAGCCATTTAACAATTTGATTCCTGCGTACTCCTTCTCCTGTGCATCCGGCACATGCTTGATGAAGTAGTTTGGATAGAACGCCCCGGCGATCACAAGCTTTAAAACAAACGGCCGTTCTGTTTTCCACACCACTTTATTCATGCCCTCGCTCTCCTTTATTCCCAGCTTCTCTAACCTTTTTGACAACTCTGTGACCAGGGCTTTGACTTCTCGCAGCACTCTAATCTGTACAAAGTTCCTTAAAGCCCATTTTTTTTCCGTGGCATCGTTGTTTATTGTGCGATTCGCTTTGTTTAAGATCCATACTTTATATACATTCATAAACGCTATACAGTCGCTGCAAGAATCGGCTGACCAGTTGAGACGAACATTGTAGGCCAACAACTTCTGTTTGAACGGACTGTTGAACATGTCTTTTACAGCTAGACAGGCCGCAATGATGATAGTGTCCTTTAAAATACTATAAACGTGTCCTAGCATTATTAGCTTTGTTATATGTATGTCCAGTGGGAGATTGGCCATGACCCGACCAAGATCAGTGAGTTCCCCATCGAGTGGTTGAAATTCGTTGGTGGTGTCGATCAATGCACCAGTCTCTTTCAACAACAGTATAGTTCTCTCTAAATTGGCGAGGTCTGGAGGATCAAGAGAAAGCGCTAAAATAGCTTTCGGTTCTCCCATGTCTAACAGCTTTGATTTCAGCACTACGTTTGCTAAAGGTGCTCGCAATATCTCTGGAGGTGCTTCTTTTGAGAGCACAGACTCATAGAATGCTTGCGATACTAGTCTGTACACTCGTCCGTCCATCACACGACCTGTGCGACCTGCTCTTTGCTCACAATTAATCTTGCTTGCCCATTTGAGCTCCAAGCATTGAAAGTTTGTCTTTGGGTTGACAACAAGTTGCTTTGTTAAACAGAAATCAATCACATGTTTTACGTCGGGTACTGTAATACTGCTCTCAGCAATATTTGTGGACAGAATAACGCGACGGTAACCATGAGGTGGTTTCCGAAATATTCGTTGCTGTTCTTCGTTTGTGATTGACGAATGCAGTACCACTATATCCCACTTGGCTTGCTTATGTTTTGGCAGTGATAACAAATTATGCATTTCTTCGATTTCGTGAATTCCCGGTAAAAACACGAGAATCACATGTCTCTCGTAAACGTTCGTCTCCTGATCGTATTTTGCATCGTCGGCTTTCATGTCTACGTCATCGAGAATTTTTATAAGATTTACACAAAATTCCATCATCTTCTTCGAAACAGCTGGGTCTGTTGCAGAAATTTCAGGCAACTACAGAAAATATAATGGTCTAAGTAAGCTGACATTATCAAATTGCTTTATTAAATTGCAGTATATTTAAAAAGATTTCATATTATTTACCGGACCCAATGAACCAAGTTGGCATAGATAATATATTACAAAATTAAAGTATCTTCTTTTTGTAACGTCAATAACAGGAGCTGGTACAAGCTTGTCCCTCACAGGCGAAGAAAAGTATTTAGCAAATCTATCTACTTGGAATGTTGCAGACATTAATATCACTTTGACCAAGCGTGAATTTGTACGCAATAACTTGCGTACAACGAGCAAAAGAAAATCCATGTCTTGGTTCCTTTCATGAACTTCATCGAGTATAATATGCGTATACTCTAACATGTTTCTGGAATTTATCAATTTATGTAAAAGCACACCAGTTGTGCAATATGTTAAACGAGTATCTTTGCATGTGTGATTTATCAGACCAACTTGATATCCAACAAGGGTGCCTACAGGCCAATCTCTCTCTTGACTAACACGTTTTGCAATGCTTATAGCAGCAATACGTCTAGGCTGTGTAACTGCATGGCAAAAATATTGTTGTTAACATTTTATTCAACCCAAACACAAGATTTACCTTCTCAAATTTTGATAATAAATGTGAGATATTCTAAATAACTATTATAAACATTAATAATAAAACAAAATTACCTATGATATTGCAATGTAGCTTTTTCTTATAACAGGAATCCAAAATAAACTGCGGTACTTGGGTAGTCTTTCCACAACCAGTTGGTCCTTGAATTATTATTACAGAATTTGTTTCAACCATAGAAACAATTTGATCCCTTTTAGAAGTAATTGTTAAATTACTTTTTGGTTGGTACGCGAAATCAAATGTTTTGTATATATTGACTGTGTCTTCATTGATGCATGCATCCTGTACAGCTTCTGTCCCATGTGATACAAGTTCGAAATTTGTTTGGTCATTTGTGTTACAATAGCTCGCCGACTGGAAACGAGGATAAATTAAACAAAATGAAAATTTCTATGGAAAAAGTAATTTTTCTTAACATACTTCTAACAGCTCCTTTTCCTCCTTTTTAACATATTCATCTACATATTTTGTTCCACTTTCCAAAATTCGCGTTGTTTTGTTCAATTCTGCATCCAACAATGACATGTCCTTTGGTAATTGTTTTCGACTAGTCGGTCCCGGCAACGTGATTCTAGTGAACGTTCCTTTTGCACTGAATATATCTAGCATATCCATGTTGTGTTTCTTATTAGGTTTATTAGACAGATCCAACAGTGATAATAGAAACACGTAAGAATATATATTAATAGAATAGCATGTCCGTATGTATAATCGAATAAACAACACCTCGATTGCCTATTTGCCACCTCGCTCTATTAGAACTTGGTGGACTAGAATTTGGATTTGGGATGTGCGATTCAGAATCGATTTTCCGAACAATCGATCTTTTAGAACGATTTTCGAATTTTTTTTAATCGATTATATGATATTCGATCCTGGCACGATCGATCCTCCGTCGCGAACGTAACTCGCCCCTCTACGTTGTGCATCATCCCAATTATTCCTAAGTTCACAGCCCTAACACAGTGTATTGGATTCCATGATTGGATTGTCCAATTCAAATTTCAAGTGTAGTTTCCTAATTTAAGAAACAGGTTGCAGCATTAGGATACTACACAAAGATGGCGGATGGTATAAAAACTCTTACTATTTTCGCCAAGTTTAGTGTAAGTATAAGACAATATCCTTTATGGTTGCTTCCATTGCTTTTGTTTATGGTCCATGGTATCAGTATGTATTTATTTCAATCATTCATTCATTCATTCTAAGCAGTCTCAAAAAACAAAAGTATGAACACATGCATATAATCCTGTTAAGTTGTAGAAAGTTTACAAACAAAAACATTGTGTAACGACGCTATATCGTCAGAAATTAATATTAGCTTGAATAAGCTTTTCTTTACAAAACTAACACAATCCTAATTTCATGAAGTAGGTAAGAATTTATTTGAACTTTCATTTTTAAATTAATTTTAATTACGTATATATTAAAGAAGCCTTACATATTATTTAAATTAATTAATTATTATAAATTAGTTAATTATTTAAAAATTAATATTTTAAATCTGAAAAATTCTATCTAGTAAACTTCCAGTAAGCTTCCAGTAGAACAAATTTATAGACTTAAATATGTCTACTTTCTAGTTTTCTAACTGATTAAAAATAAGTTACTTAGATGTTTATTTTTACTGTATTGGATACCTTTTATTTCCAGTATTATTTTAAGTCATGGATAATTACTGTGATCCTTTCGGCTTTACTAAACAAACAGCTATTTTATTGCGTGGCTTAGATGCATCTGAATTAATACCTTCATGCAAGAAAAGAAATATATCAACTGATGTATTACACGAACTCAGTGTACAGGAGTTTATGATATTAGGTAAATAAGAAAATTATTTATATCGAGACACATATTTAAACTAAGTAATATAAATGTAGGTGCTGATTCCAAAAAGGCTGAAGAAATAAAAAAGGCTTTAAGTATAAGAAGAAAATCTGGTGTAATAGTAACAAGTATTCAAGACAGGTAGACATCTATAGTATCTTTATTTGATTTAAGTAACACATTACAAAAACTACTCGGTAGGCTTTCGAAATTCTAGAGTATGATTAAAATTTTCAGACTTGATGATTTTTTTGAAATAATTACATACGGTGAGCAACATTTATGTTCTATATCACCATTTCTAACATATTGGCGATTGAGACTTGTAACCGAAAGAATCAATATATTTGTTAATCCTGACAAATGCTTAAGCGCATCTCATATATTACCCATTTCCATTGATGCAACATTATCGGAATTTGAAAAAAC